ATTGATGGCTCAACATGACGGATAGATGTAGACAGAATGCGCACAAGCGGCGCCGTAGGCGCCGTGGAAATGTACGGACCCCCAGACATTCCTGGATATACATAAGGGTTAATAACAAGATATTATTTCTCTATGTTTTCTTGATCGCCCCCCTAATAAGCATCCATTCGTTTTTCTACAGTCACGACGGATTGAATATGATATGAGAACAGGAGGTGGAAAACGGAATCTCCCCTCTTCTTTTTTCCCTCTCCTTTTTCCTTTTTTTCTTTACCCCCCAGATAGCCACCTGAACCCCCCAAATTTTCGAGGGGTCCCGAGATGAAGGTTGATGCGACACTTTCGGTCATTTTGTGATTCGAACGAGTACGGTACCTGGTACGGTGTACCGTGTACACAGATTTCAAGATTCAGTGCTACGGCGCTTTACGCTGTCACAATAGCGTCGGCCATATGGTATACGAGTCTTCTTTTCATTGTTAATTTCAAGTCCAATAGTACCCGTGTATTTTGTGCCTTCCAGCTTGTGATTTAAAATTTCATTTGATTTGATTCCATTCGATCTCTTCACAACAACACGTCGCAGTTTCATCTGAGACTCACTCAGGTGATTGAGATTCCAAACGAAACGATGCGGACCTTCAAGGGAAAATGGGGACGAAAAAGCAAAGATTCTGGCGGTACAGCAGACTTCGCTTACATGTTTGTCAAGCCAACGCTTACTGAAGAGCAACAGCGAGAAATGGAAAGGCAAATCAGAGAAAGCAAAATCAATCAGGGTAGTTTGCTGGAAGCTGGAAAAGGAAGACCTTCTAGTGCTCCAACGCTGAAGCCAATCAAGTCCAACGTGGGAACGAATATGCAAGCACTTCTCAATGCTGATCAAAAGAGAATGACTGTTGCTGAAAAGCAAGAGTATCTGAAGGGAAAATACAAGGCAAAGCATTACATTGGAGACTTTGGCAAACTAAAAAAAGCCAAGCGAAATCCAAAAAGCAAGGGCGAAAAGACTGAAATACCGCCGGTGTCGCTGCGGAAGGTTTGCGCACCCCAGTTGAAATTCGACTTGCGACAGTTTGCGCCGAAGGAAACAAAGAAAACTGAATGGCAAAACAAAATACTTAAAAAGGTCATTGGAGCATCTGTCGTTCTTCGAGACAATTCCAAGAAAACAGAAGATCGTCTCATTGCCGCAATGAAGCAAATCAAACTTAAATCTGGACAAGTCTTATCAAAGCAAGGTGAAATGGACGAAAAGGATGATAAATACTATGTTGTCGAATCCGGAAGGCTCGAGTTTCAAGTGGATGGGGTGACAGTGGACACTGCCGAAGCTGGAACTGCCTTTAATGAAGAGCGCTTGTTATACAGACATGCCAATAATGCCACAATCAAAGCATCCGAAGATACAAAACTGCTCGAGCTGGATCAAGCGACTTTCCGAGGTATCATGCAGCAAGAAGAAATCAAGGCACAAAAAGAGAAACCAAAACAAAAGGAAAAACCAAAACCCAAGCCTTTACCCGCGAAAAAGGAAAAGAGAAAGAAAACTCGAACCATCGCTGGAGACTGGGATTTATCCGACTCTACAATCTTTCAAGAGCAAGAAAAGGCTCGGTTTGGTGTCAAGAAGCATGCATCTTCCAAGGAAGATCTCGAATTTGTGCGGCTGCTTGGTGAGGGTCAATTTGGTGAGGTTTGGCTTGTGGGAGCAAAACTACCAGAATTTGAGGAGAAACAGCAGTATGCTCTCAAAATGCAGGATATTACTGATGATGAATTGCGGGAAGATCCGACAGATGCAATTTGGAAAGAAATTACTGCTTTGAAGATTGTACACCATCCCTTTGTGGTGAATCTGGTGCACGTCTACGAAACAGAGGATTCGATCGACATGCTTCTCGGGCTGATTCGGGGGACGGAACTTTGGGACGAGGTTCACAGGGAAGATGAACCTGATGTTTGGGTATCCGGATTCTCTGAGGCTCGAGCCCGTTTCTACACTTGTGTATTAGTTGACACTTTGGCCTTTCTACACAAGCATGAATTTTGTTATCGCGATTTCAAGCCTGAGAATGTCATGATTGATGAGGATGGGTATCCCATTTTGGTAGATTTTGGTTTTGCAAAATACGTAGCTGAAGGAGACAAGACATTTACATTTTGTGGGACTCCAAATTACGTTGCTCCAGAGATTATTAAGCTCTCGGGGCACGATCGGAATGTCGACTACTGGGCACTTGGTGTGGTCATTTATGAGATGGTTTGTGGAGAGAACCCATTCTTCTACGAAGGCATGGAGCAATTTGCGCTTTACCAAGCAATTACAGATGAGGTACCCTATGACATGGAAGGTGACTATACTAAGGAGGTAATTGACTTGTGTCACAAACTGCTCGAAAAAGATCCCACCAAAAGACTCGGTAGCAATCATCCTCATGATATTTTGGAGCACAACTGGTTTCGTGGCACACCTGATCTCAGCGAGTACAGAGCCAAGAAGGTGGCTCCTCCACCTCTTATTGAAGAAACAATCTCTTTTGAGGAAGAAGAATCTGAATCCGAAGACGAGACACCAATCGAGGCTAGCTTGCTAGAAGATGATGTGGATGGAAACAACTTAGAAGAAGAGCTAGATCTGTTCAAGGAGGAAGAGAAGCCAAAACCAAAAATTAAGTTGGTGCCGTTCAAAGCCACCAACAAGGGTGCTTTGAAAGGGTACTATGCAAAAGAAAAGACAAAAGAGGAGAAATATAGTTCAAAAGAACGGCGTGCCATGCTTTCTGGCACGCTTGAAGATATTGAAGACGAATAAATCTTTACAAGCACTGCTTCTGCTGACATCGGCCTGTATGTCGTACATAGAAGCTAAAATGTACCTTTTGACTCCATCATTTCACCGGTTTTTTAAAAAATTAGTTGGGAAGACAGAAGGGTCTTGAGAGCCTTTCCCAATCCGCTAAGTCAACTGCAGCGCACTGCTCAGCGTTAGTATGATTTGCGGACAGACGAAGAGCCTCGACAAAAGGGGCTGAAAATAGACTATCAGCCTATAGTTGACTACCAGTTTCTACAAGATGATGAAGATCAAATCAGGTAAAAAGCATGCAGTGAGGATTGGATGATCCTTGCTTGTTTCATGCAGAATATTAGACCATTGCCAGCGGAGGACTTGATAGAATAAATGTGATTGGCTGAAATCGGAAGACATACAGACGCTTTATGAATACCTCGAAAGAAGCATCTGTCGGTCTTGCCGTCTATCCAAAATTGAGGGAAGTGCCTTCCAGCCAAAAAAACTTCGTCAATCTCATGAATCACATTCAGTACGGTACAAGTAGCCCTCTTGTACATAGCATTGTAATGAACGAGCAGAAGTATTGTGATCTGCAATGTGACCTAGTTGAAAATATGGATATAGTTGGAGTTACAATTAAAGTAATATCCTATTTAGAGTAAAACATCATCAACAGAAAACCAGATGGTTCAAGCATATTTTTCCTTGTTGGAAAGTGCCATTTTGTCAAAATAATGCAAAATGTGCTCTATCGTGAGTGCTTTTAGCGCTCAGAACAAACTCTCTGCAATCTAAATTCATAATCGACTGTACAACACTTTCACGACAATAGTTCTCCTGTGTTAGGTATACTTTGAGTGAAATTGTTCCTATTTGATTAATGTTTGGCTTGAATTGATGATTCAATCACAAAAGTGAGTTCAACGA